GAGGTAACTTCTAGATCCCCCCAGCGAGCTAACTTTAATTCTGCCTTATTTCTTGCATTCTTGCATCCTTTAATCATTACAACGCCCCCAAAACAAAACAAACAAGCAAACAAAACTCTGAAATAATCAGACATTCACTAGTCAGTCAGTTTTCCATTGTTCCTGTCCCCACCTTAGAACACAAGTGCCTTTGAAATCGTCTGGTCCAGATTTGGTTTTGTTTCTTCGTGGCTTTGATCAGCCTCACCTCAGACCTTAGGAACACCAACTCTGATTTTTTGTTTTATTTTGCTTTGTTTGTTTTTTCAAGGCAGGGTTTCTCTATATTGCTTTGGAACTTGCTATGTAGACCAGGCTGGCCTCGAATTCACAGCGATTCACCTGCCTCTGCTTCCTGAGTGTTTGGGATTAAAGACATGTGCTACCATCACCCAGCCTCACTAATTCTGCTTTATAAATTGAAGTGTTGTTTATTCTGGAATAGAAGATAATCCAGTGATGCACATCTGTAACCCTGGCACTTGGCAGGAACAGACAGGAGGATCATGCGTTCAAAATCATCTTCATTGTGTGGTGAGTTCAAGGCCAGGCTAGGATGCATGAGATTGTCTCAAAAGAAATATGAATCTTAATATATTATTTTTATTTTCCCATTTTTGTGTGTGTGGTGTATGTGTATCTCTCTCTGTCTCTCTGTCTCTTTGTCTGTCTGTCTGTCTCTCTCTCTCTGTGTATTCATGTCTGCTGGCACATGCGTGTTTGGGCACAAGTGGGGGCATGATGTGGAAGTCTGAGACTGATGAATTACTAGTCCACATTATTCATTGAGTCAGGGTCTCTCAATCAAACCCAGAGTTCACTGATGTGGCTAGTCTCGTTCAACAGCTTGCTCTGGGGATCCCATGTCTCCGTGTTCAATCTGGCAATAGAGCCACACCCACTGGTCATTACACATATCCCAAGGATCTGAACTCTGGTTCTTATACTGTGAGGCAAGTGCTTTAAAGACTGAGCCATCTCCTCAGTCCCCACAAACATTATTTACATTACTGTAATTTTGAACAAATTGCCCAATTTTCATAGTGTCTCTTTGTCTGTCCCACAAAGGCTGTATAAAACTCCCTGTAGCCGGGCGGTGGTGGCACACGCCTTTAATCCCAGCACTCAGGAGGCAGAGGCAGGCGGATCTCTGTGAGTTCCAGGCTGGGCTGGACCGACAGCCTCCAAAGCAATACAGAGAAACCCTGTCTCATAAAAACCAAAAAAAAAAAAAAACCTCCCTGTGGACAGAAATTGTGTCTGTCCAGCTCTTGAATACAACAAGCAGCTGCCTGGAATGTGCAGGGTCTGGAACAGCAGAGCATGTGCCCTGTAACCACATGTGCTGCCACGGAGTAGAAAACAGAGTGTTACACTATGAGCCAGGGTCCATCGCAGGTGCAGATTGCTGCCTTGCAGACAGGCACAGGGCATGGTAGAGCTGCTCAGGCAAGGGGGTAGGTGGTGGTTGGCGGCTAGCCTCCTCTCTGCTTGCTAGGTTAGAGCGAAGAGCTAAGGCTGACTGCAAAGCAGAGCTGAAGACACACAGCCACCGTGCAAACTCTCTCAGAACATGCGTTGATTTTAGACTAGCCCCTCAGAGAGCATTTTGAGCTATGTAAAGTAACAGAACCTCATACGCACATACGTATGTAGTATTACTATAAATGCCTTGCTATAGGTAGAGATGATGTCGCTAGAGATGGAGATGACATTGGTACAGATAGGGAGAGAAACAATGATGTAATAGAGGTGGACACATCTTCCACCAGCTGAGGATCTGAGCACAGCCTGATCCTTTAACACTAAGAATGCCTGCAGCGCCTGCGGCACACACCGCCACGTCTTCCTTCTGTCCCTGCCTGGGTGCAGAGGACAGGCCAAACTGGGTGGTGGAGCGGCTGTGGAAAGTATCCAGGGACAGATTTGCGTGGGAATGTGTACACTGGTGCAGACACAAATGATGGGGGAAGTCCTGTTATTACTTAATAAAGCACTGTTGGCCAATAGGGAACCAAGATAGGTGGGACTAGGAGTCCAGGAGGACTCTGGGAAGGAGAAACACAGAGAGTCAAGATGTAACGCCATGGGGTAGGAAGCCCAGAAACCTCTCCGGTAAGAGAAATACTTAGATTAACAATTATGGGATAAATACTTAAGTCAGAGCTAGCCAGTAAGAAACAAGTAAGGTCAACAGCTTCATAATTAATATAGCCTCCTGTGTGTTTATTTGGGACTGATGCAGCTCTAGAACCAGGCTGGCGGGAAGGCTTCCCTTAACACACAAAGATGGTTGCTGGATGAGGTTGGAGAGATGGCTCAGCTGCTGAAAACACTGACTGATGTTTCAGAGGACTCTGGGTCTGTTTCCCAAAACTCACACGGTAACTCACAACCATTTGCAACTCCAGTTCCAAGGGATCTAACGCCCTCTTCTGAACTCCAAGGACACTGCACACACAGGATGCAATGCATACATTTAGACAAATACCCACACACATGAAAAGTATCTGCTGTGTCATAGGCTACACCATAGCTTTGAGGTCAGTGTTTATACTCCATCAAAACCTTTGCTTCTCTTCCAAAGACAGTTTGTAACACAGTTAATTATTTTTGGTTTTACTAGTTGGGTTTTGGAGACAAGAGTCTCATGTATCCCAGGTTGGCATCAAATTCACTATGCATCCAAGGCTAGTCTTGAACCCTTGGTCCTCCTGCCTCCATCTCCCAAAATCTAGGATGACAGGTATGAGTTGTATTGCCCAGCCTCCTTTGCAGATATTTAACCTTCTAAAAGTCAAAACCAGAGAACCTGGATTAAATAGTGAACAGAAAATCAAATAGGCCGGCATTGGTGGCGCACACCTTTAATCCCAGCACTCGGGAGGCAGAGGCAGGCAGATCTCTGTGAGTTCGAGGCCAGCCTGGTCTACAAAGTGAGTTCCAGGACAGCCTCCAAAGCTACAGAGAAACCCTGTCTCGAAAAAAAAAAAAAAAAAAAAAAAAAGAAAAGAAAAGAAAAAAGAAAAAAAAAAGAAAATCAAATAGTATCTTCCCCCTGGATACAGGAGGTTAGCAATTTGACACAATGTAGAATCCCTAGGAAAGTAAATCTCTACAAGGGATGGTCTAGATTAGGTTGGCTTTGGCCATGAGGGATTATCTTAATTGGGGTGAGATGGGAAGACCCACCCTGAATGTGGGCAGTGCCACTTCATGGACAGGGCCACGAACTGAATGAGGAAGAGGGAGTGAGCACTGGTGTTCATTCATTCATTCATTCATTCATTCATTCATTCATTGCATATGGGGTCTTTATCATGTTTTCTTTTGAAACAAGAATTTATTATGTTGCACAAACTGGTCTCAAACTCTGGGTACATGCCTTCTGGAAAACTCTGGTCTATAAGCAACCACCCTGCCAGCCAGTCATCATGATTGACAGTGTGTGTGTGTGTGTGTGTGTGTGTGTGTGTGTGTGTGTGTGTGTGTGTGTCCTTGTACATGCTCTACCCAAAAAGCACTGAAGAATGGTTTGGTGATGTCCTCCAGCCCAAGTCATCAGTAGAGACCACTGACTCCTAAAAGACAGCCTAGGAGTTGCTGGAGGCATTGAAGCCAGTCAAACCAGCAGTTCAAAATGCATTTGGGTTGCATTTAGATGCTCCTATCCCTGCATCCCTGCACCCCTGCTCTCCCTTCCATCCCTGCACCCCTGCTCTCCCTCCTGTCCCCACATTTCTGCCTTCTCTCCGGTTCTTTCTCCTCCACATGCTCCCCTTGAATAGTCTGATCTCTTGGATATTTTTTTTTCAATTTAAAAGTATTTTAGATGTTTCTAAGGCTTTTGAAATAAACACACTACGAAGATTAAATTGGGGGTGGTTTTTGTGTGTGACTGGGCTGGAGTGCAGAGATTAGCCCCTTTGCCTTCTGCAGATGCCGCAGAGGCCAGAGGGCTTCAGATCCCTGCAGCTGGAGTTACAGACTGCCCTGAGCCGCCTGTGTGGGTCCTGGGAATGAAACCCGGGCCTCTACAGGGTCACATATTTTCTAAGGCCTGTGCGTCTCTCCAGCCACAAGCTCCCACTGTTATCTCTCTCTGTAGTCCTGGCCCAACTGGAACTTTCTTCCTCCAGTCTCAGGCCTTCACCCGCACTCTGAGGAGTTTCGTTTCTCTTGTGCTAACGGTGGTATCATTAACCCTTTTCCTGAAGACTTTACTCTTTTCTTTCATTTCCTCTTGGTGGTGGCGTTTTCAACTTTTTCCTAAGAACTAGAGAAAACAATCTAGATTGTATCTCTTTAATTTGGTTTAGACCTAAGTGTGAGATTTCCAAGCGGAACATGAACACCAACCCAATAATCTTTTCCCCCTCACACAGCCCAAAGTGTTCTCTGACTGGCTGAGGTACGATCAGCCGGACATTTTCTGCTTGCCGTATTTTAACAATTGTTTGATTTGCTGTAGGGCCTGAACCCAGCACCTTGCACAAGTTCATGCTACAGCACTGAACAACACCCTCAGCGCCTATATCTACACTCACCCTTTCACCCGTCAGTCATTCCTTCTGCGCTCGAGCAGGTCACACAGCCTGGAGCAGACCCAACCTCGTCAGACCAGCACCCTTTACCAAACCATTCTTGCTTCGTTTCATCTGACGAAGCCCAGGCTCACCTCTATCTCAGTGTGTACTGGGGTGTAGCAGAGATGGCCTGGAATTCCTGATCCTCTTACTTCTACCTTCCAAGTGCCAAACTTACAGGTTTGATCCACTACGAGTTAAAATGTTTTGCTGAGCATGGTGTCACACACCTTTGATCCCAGCTCTTGGGAGGTGGAAGCAGAGGCAGGCAGCTCTCTGTGAATTCAAGGTCATCCTGGTCTACAGAGTGAGTTCCAGGATAGCCAGCGCTATGTAGAGAGACCCTGTCTCCAAAAACAATAGCAACAACAACAATAATAAATATAATGTTTTATTTGGTTGTCATTGCTTATTAACAATTCTTTGTGATGACATGTTTACCATATTGAAACAAAATTCACATATGAGAAGCCCTATATATCACTCATGCAGTTCCAAAACAAACCTAGCTGGGTCTGGGCAGGAGAATTTTCTCTAATAGGAGGCCATCCAGGGGTATATTGCAGGACCCTACTTCAAAACAACAACAGCAACAAAATCGATATATCGATGTGTGTTTTACACAGGCATCTCTGACACAATTGCCATTGAATGAGGTCCCCGCACACTCACACTGACTTGTGCTGAGCAGATCCTGACTGAAGGTAAAGCAGAGAGCATATTGCGCACTAATGTGGGAGAACAGAGGTACAGAGCGGCTTTTACAAAACCTTAAGGGAGAAAGATGAACTTAAGATGCAATACAAGTTCTGATAATTGTTGATGATGACCGAAGCTCCAGTTGTATGCTCCAAAGTCACGGGAAAGGTTCGCACTGTGCACCTGGCTTCTTTTAACCCTACTCACACCTTCCCACAGCACATCCTGTCTACGTGGCTGTCCGAGTGTCCTCAGTGTCTTCCCAAACTGCCCCCATAAGCAAGTGACACCGCCAAGAGGTGCTGCTACCCAGAAAGACGGGGCTGAGTGGGGAATGACCACTCGAGACCATGAGCTAAAGGTCAGTGTGGGCAGCATAATGTGACCACAGGCTGGTGAGACTGCTCAGCAGATAAAGGCACCTGCCCCCAAGCCCGAGGTCATGAGTTGGATCCCCAGGATCCACATGGTAGAAAGAGAAAACTCCTGAAAGTTGTCCCCTGAGCTCCACACACATGCTGTGCCCATTCCCCACAAGTAAATAAAATGTGATAAGTAAAAAAAAAAGTGAAATACTGTCTAATGGTGAGAAGGAGAAAGAGGCCAAGGAGAAGGAAGAATGAATGTGGCCACCGAATTAGCTCATAGATGTTCAAATAGCATGTAAATCATTAAAAAAAAACTTCCAAAATGCTTTGCCTGGTGTTACCCTCATTATTGAGGCCCAAGGCCTAAGGACAAGTAAGTAACAGAGGATCAAAGCTAACAGGACCCTCTCTGCCGTATCAAGTATGGTGGATGAGTGGTCATGTGTTCACTGACTTCACTTCTCTTTCCTTTCAGGTTCCCAGCTGGACTCATGTGTTAGCATGTTTCCGGTTTGGTAGGGGCCATGTGACTTAGGCTCACCATGAAGTCATCTACTGGCTTCACTTTCCTCAGAGATTCCTGGAGCCTTGAACTGAATATGGAGACTCACAAGACAGAAAGATCATGGGCCTGTGTAGACCGAATGGAGCACATATTCTCTAGCCTGGCAAATTGCATTTGAATGATACCAAATGACTCACTGGCTTTGTATTGAGTTAAGTCACCAGTATTTAGAGGTTAATTTATCACAAGAGTGAGCGTTTCCAACTAAGTGTTCAGGAATTCCCTCTCTGTGGTTTTAAGTAACACCCCTGATAAAACAGTTACTTTAAATCACTCTCCGAGAGAGCTGTTTCCTTGTTACCTTTTGGTTTCTCTTATGTTGCTGTGAAAGAACACCTTGATCAAAAGCAACCTGAGGGAGAGAAGGGTTTATACCAGTGTAAAGTTCCAGGTTTCGTCTCTCGCTGGGGAGACATGGAGGCCAAAGCTCGAAGCTCCTACTCACATAACACCCACAGTCAACAACAAAAAGAGTAATTTCGCCTTTGCTTGCTTGATCTCTTGCTGGCCGTCTTTACTTTTACATACTTCAAGCCCCAGCCTGGAGAACCATGCTGCTCGCAGTGGCCTGGGTCTTCCTCCATCCAGTCCCCCACAGGCCCACCTGATCTAGGGAATTCCTCACTGAAACCCTTCCAAGGTGGTTGTAGGCTGTGTCCCGTGAACAGGTAGAACTCACCAGCACAGCCGGGCACCCGTGACATGGTGGAGAGACACGGCACACAGGGAAGGGCACGCTGACTGAAGCGAGGGACTTTTCAGTGACACGCTGGCTCAACTGATTGAGACGATTCTATGTGAGCGGTAGAGAGTGAGGAGGACCAAGGAGGCCGACTGCAAGCAGCACAGATGTCCCTTGAAAGAGGTAGAATGTGTCTTCTAAATCACAAATATTTTATTTATTTATTTATTTATTTATTTATTTATTTATTTTTTCGAGACAGGGTTTCTCTGTGGCTTTGGAGGCTGTCCTGGAACTCGCTTGGTAGTCCAGGCTGGCCTTGAACTCACAGAGATCCGCCTGCCTCTGCCTCCCGAGTGCTGGGATTAAAGGCGTGCGCCACCAATGCCCGGCTTATCACAAATATTTTAAACAGACACACAAAGACATACAAATAGCCAATTAGCAATGAGAAAGGCCTTGATGTAACTTTAGTCAGTAAGAATGCAAACCGAAGTACCCAAGAGATTGCCCTTCCAAATACTAGGCTAGATAGAAAACCCAAAACTACAAGTAACAGGCCCTGGCCAGGCTGTGGGGAAATTGGAGCTCTTTCCATCACTGGTGCCCTTGTAGACTGACATCGCCACTATAGGTGACAGATAGACAATTCCCAAAGGACCCAGTTGTTTCACCCCTGTACATATACCCCAAAGGATTAAAAACGGCTTCAAACACATGCTTGTGATGAGTCTAGTGCATGTACCTGTTACCCAGCAATTGGGCACTTCCAGCTGTTTAAATTGTACGTCACAACCCCAGAATTGAATGTAGAGGTTGCACAAAATTTGACTGTGATAAGGGTTTCTGAATGTGCACCAACCAACCAAACAGTAACTCAAAATCAAACGGGTGATGAATCCAGCCCTCATATCCATTGCATCACATGGCACTGCAGCCTTGGTTCTGAATACAAGATGTGAGCTCTTAGCCCTGCATGTAATGCCACGTCACAAAACGTGAGCATCTGAAGTCTGATTTCAGACAATTCCATGTTGTGAACTGTGTGTTTGTACTAGATGTACAAAGTAAGCTCTCTTTCGGAAATACCATGGTTTAATCACAGAAACAAGAACTTTCAGTATTTTTTTTCATGATCATCACTTAAATATTGAGTTAGTATTTTTTAAATTGTATTGCATTAGAATGCTTGTGGGGGTTTTTTGTTTGTTTGGTTGTTTTGGGGTTTTTTTGAGACAGGGTTTCTCTATGTAGCTTTGGAGCCTGTCCTGAAATTTGCTCTGTGACCAAGCTGGCCTCAAACTCAGAGATCTGCCTGCATCTGCCTCCCAGGCACTGGGATTAAAGGTGTGCATGACTACTGCCCAGCTAGAAAATTTAATTATTTTAAATTGATGTTTGAGTTGCTGACTTGGGTTTTATTTACAACAATGACAATAACAACAAGAAAACCCATGCTGGAGAGATGACTCTGTGGTTAAGAGCACTTACTGCTCTTACAGAGGACCCAGACTCAGTTCCCAGAACCTACCTGGCAGCTCACAACCATCTGTACCTCCAGTGCCAGGGGAGCCAACACTCTCTTAACTGCCACAGGTGCCAGGCATGTGCATGATACACATGCAGGCAAAACACTCATACACATAAAATCATACATTCTTTCAAAAAATGTCTTAAATCATAAAAAAGATTTGGGTTTGGGATTAGGCCAGCAATTTCTGAAGTCTTCCCAAACATACTTCTGCCATTTTGTGCTTTATTTATATGAATCTTTCTCTAAACTGACAATTATAAAAGCAAAATGGCATTCAATTCTGATGTCATATGTCCTGCAGTATCAAATACCCAGGCCAGATTTAATCCTTTATGTAAAACTAAGCAAGTGCATCCATCTCTGTGGTATGCAAATTTGCTTCCATCATTAATAAATGGTAACAACGTATGTATAACAAAGAAGTTATTTAAACATCTTTATTGGGACCTGGAGAGACAGTTCAAAGGCTAAAAGTACTCAGTGCTCTTCTAAAGGACCTGAGTTAGACTCCGAACTCCTGCATCAGGTGGCTCATAAAGTCCTATGCCTGCAGCCATATTTGATGCACTTTTTTAGCCTCTGAGGACAAACACATCCTCCCATACAATCACACAAAAATATGTTTTTCAAAAGTAGAATAAAACAAGTTCATTTATGATTAGTTGTCATCAGTAAATGGTTGTTTTATATATCTGTTTCACAGACCTATACCTGGGGACATGGAAAATTTGGGGGGTTAGAAAGGAGTCACAATTGGAGAGTTTATGAAGTTCTGGGGAGCCGGGCAGTGGTGGTTCAGGCCTTTGGTCCCAGTACTAGGGAGGCAGAGGCAGGTAGATCTTTGTGAGTTTGAAGCCAACTTGGTCTACAGACCAAGTTCCAGGACAGGCTCCAAAACTACAGAGAAACTCAGTCTAGAGTACAAAACCCTGGGGAGGAGAAAGCTAGAGGATCAAGAGTTCAAAATCATGCTTAAACCATCTTCTTAAAAACCAGAGAGAACATTTACTAAGGACATATGTCATACAGTTCCATTCTGAAGAAGAAGTAAATTCAAAGAAACAGATGCTGGAACAAGGAGCAACTGGGGAGTGACTGTACCATTTACTTTTCAACCGACATACTGTGTCCCTTCACACGATTCACTTTGTGATAAGTGAGTTTAAGAACTACTACTGTGTGGTTTTCCTAGAACTATCCACCCTGTGTACCTCTGGGTCTTAGCAGGTTCTCCTGGGAACAATGACAATAGGACAATATGGCAGAGACTAGCCGGGCTGTCAGAAAGCTGGGCTCAAGACATGACCATTTCTTCCTCTCCAGAACCTCTCCAGACTCAGTTCTTTGATACCTGTCACCAGGAACCCAAAGGAGTAGGATGAGAGGAATAATGGATTTGGACACTGAAGTGACAGTGCCTCCACCCCACTGCCAGCTTAAGCCACCAGTGATGCCCCATCCCCTCTTCTGGAGCCTGAGCTCTCAGTGTGCATGGCCTGCCTGACGCCCGCTGACACCGGCAGCCTTCTGTGTTGTGTCTTCTCATGGCCCGTCTCCATCCTCCCATTTCCCGGTAGACAGATCATAGAGGGTCCAGTTTCCCTGCTCGGCATCCTCCAACTCACCTCTGCCAACCTCCACCAGCCTCCCCGGCCTCCCCGGTAAGAGTTCTTCTCAGGTTCTTGATGGGGCTTTGATCTCAAAACCAGTAAAGAAACCGGGGTGGGGGCAGCATACAGCTCTCGAAGGCAGAACAGGAGAGAGGAGACACACGGGCACTCACACGCCCCAGTCCTTAGGGCTCTGAAGGTCGAGATTTGACGCTGCCTCACTTTCAGGCAAGTTAGCAGCACTCCAGACCGCCTCTCGCCCTCATTTCTCCGTCAGTTAGCTTCCTTCCCCCAGCACTTGGAGGTTCTCCACAGCTTCTCTCCTGCCCGAGCCACACAGATGTGAAGCCTCAGTCTCTGGCCACCACGTCTTAGCAACCACAACGGACTGGCCTCAAACTAAAAATGGCTACTCCAGCCTGCCCAGAAAGAAATGAAGGAGTGTCTGGATTAGAGCCCAGCTTCACAAAGTTGTGAGACCGTGAGCAAGCGGACCTCTGTTACAGGGTATCGGGGGTTCTGTCTTGAGCCCTCCCCAGGGGCTCTAGGCATTACACAGGTGCAGCTGCTTGATGTGACTGACAGCTGTCACTCCCCGACCAGAAAACAGAGTCCTGGTGGCCTCTTTGAAAAGTCAAAGCCTTTGATGCTGTCGAGAATGAAGACAAAGGCCATAGGACACACACACACACACACACACACACACACACACACACACACTCACCATGACTCTGCCCCTCCCTGGTGGCCCCGCCCTTTGACTTCATCAGCACCCCACCTCCCTTACATTCAGGGTGCCCCATCCGCCTGCCCTGGCTCCTAACCCACCCTTCGGCTGGCGGGGGCCCGAGGGAGCAGGTGTCCCCACAACCGACCGCCAAGATGCAGCCACGGCTCTGGCTGGTCTTCAGTGTGAAGCTGGCAGGTAAGACAGAGTGGACTAGTACTGGTCTGCGCTAGGGCGGGGAACTCAGACCTGGCGGTCTCCGCAGCAGGAGGCACAGACAGGAGCCGGGCTGTGGGAACAGGGCAGGCTTGGTAGGCACAGGCCTTGGTCATGGGAAGAGGACTCCTCCCAGGAGCTCATTTCCCAGCACCTAGGGCAGAAGCCGCCTGTCCCACAGCCTGAACTAGAAGGGAAGAGAGGGAAAGAGGAAGAAACAAAAGAGGAGAGAGAAATGTAAAACTGAAGGGGAAACGTAGTTATTCAGGGCGCACAGGGTTGTGCCCCATGCAGTTCCCAGAGGCCCAGTCTGGTGTAGGCCAGGGTCTGTAGACACACTCTTATTACTTCCGGGCAAGTGTGTCTAGTAAATTAGACAAACACTGCTGTAGCTGACTCAAGGACGACTATGACCCCCCATCACTGTCCAGTGTCCTCTGGAGTCAGGGTCCTATGCAGCATGGCTCCCCCAAGAAGCGGCTCTGGGCACTGCAGATGGGTTACTGGGGCTAGCTAGCACAGACATGTGACCTAAAGTCCATCACTGCGATCAGACCCAGTGAGAGTGCTTTTTAGAGGGAGACCCCTCAAATCTCCTCTGGTGTGGTACCACCTAAAGCTCAAAACTGATTACACAGTTGAGAGAGACAGGGCATGCCGGCCCCTACATCTGATTAGGTCAACTCCACTACATCACAAATGGAAACAAGGTAAGGCTATTCTGAGCCACTGAAGCTACTGCTGATCATTCTAGAAATTCTAGGTCCCTCTGAAAATGGAATCCTGGGCAACCAAACAGATCAAAGGAGACCATTGTGTAGGTTTCCTCAATTCGGTGGCTCTGAGCTCATTCGCCCAAGTCCTATGGCCTGGGTTTGAGTGTGAGTCTACTGCGCACAGGCTGTGTGATCCTGAGCATACCTTTCTCTTGAGCTATGTTTGCTCTCGTGTAAAAGGAGTCTGTCACCTGTAGGATTAGTGAGGACTGAATCAGACAACACACACACACACACACACACACACACACACACACTGTGCCTGATGTATTGCAATATAGACCAGCATCATCATTTCACATTTGCTTCCCCAAAGAGGACAATGACCCAAAACAATAAAAATGGCTGCGATGGCACAGAAATGGTAGCCTGGTACTCACGGCCAGGGAGGTGTAGCGGCCTGAGGTGAGAGGATATTCATTCTCTCCATGCAAGGGGAAGCTCAGAGTGCTCTGAGGGTGGACTCTGGATTTACCTCATCTCATCAGTCCTCAGGAAGGCCGTGATGGGCCCGCAAGGCCTGAGCCACATTATAGGCAGTGATCACCATCAACTCAGGCAGTTGGTTCTCCCGGGATCACACACCCTCCGTCCTCTGCTCAGCCAGGCCTGTCCTCTGTGTTATTTATATCTTGGCCATGGCCCTCTGCTCCAAGCCAAAGAAAAAGGCTTTCTGGATCAAACTGAGTTCGTGGGAATGAACCCACATTGTCTTGGATGTGAAAGAAACTTAGTGTGAGCCTCCTTGAGACTTGGTGCCCAGAACATCCCTGAGAGCGTAGACCTGCCAGCAGAGTTTACCTGCGGGCTTCACACGGGCACCTCCACTCCATCCGATTACCTGCGTGGGTGCCTCATCGATCTCACTTCTCCCTGAAACTCACTGTGTAGCTCAGCAATCCTGCCTCAACTTCTCAAGTGCTAGGATTCTAAGTGTGCACAACTATGCCTGCCTGCCTTTCTTTCTAACCCTCAGTAGCAAGCAGGACAACGCGGCAAGCCAAGCTCTCCTTTCACAGGAGACCACATACTTGGTGACTTCTGAGGTCCCACAGCTGCCACAGGACAAAGGCTATGTGCACCATCAAGTCTGTAACTCCCTCCAACCGCCCAGTCTTCTCATCTAAGACAAATTAACTCTCAGCCTTGTCTCTGTAATGGCTGCCCTGCCCTGAGGGGTGAGAAGTTAATGTCAGGTCCCGTGCAGGGTTGAGAAGTAACGACCCACCAGGGTCAGCTCCTTTAACTGGGTCTGGAAATCTCACACTGTCCAAACCAGCCTTGCACTGGGCCCGTGACTCCAGATTCCTCTCCCAGCTTGCCCCAGGTCTCTTCCAGCGGCTTAGAGCCACGAAAGGCCTCTCTACTCAGAGGCACAGCCAGGAGAGGCCAGCAACCAGCTTTGGCTTTTGACATTGGTTCTTTGGGTTTGAATTCAGTGAGATGCCGAGCAAGTTAGCTTCGTGCCTGTGTTTTCTCATCTAGGGGAGGGGGATAAACATCCTGGAGCTAGTTTGATACTTGGCTAAGATGGCTTACGCCAAGGACCACAGGTGGACGTAGGTCGTCATCCAGTGCTTTGGTAAAGGCAAGCACAGTGGACACCGACCTGCAGTCAATGTTTGTGAGTTCAAAGACACCGACTGCTGATAACACCCTGGCTTTTCCATCAGTTTGCCTCCCATACAAGCTCATTGTGATTCTGAGGCCCCACCACTGTGCACAGACACATTTGCTAATGGCTTCTACACTAGGGTTTGAACTCTGTACTGCTGAGCTAGCTTACAGGCCTTCCCCCCTACTCTTTTATTTTTTTTAAAGACAAGTTCTCATGTAGCCCAGGCTAGCCTTGAACTCACTATGTAACCAAACTTGAAGTTCTGATCTTCCTGCTGCAACCTCCAGAGTGCTAAGGTTACATGTGCTTATCAGCAGCCTGGTTTATTTCTTCTGTTTTTTTTTTCATTTGTTGTTTGTTTTTGTAGCTCTCTGGAGCAGCTCTGCCCTCCTTCAGACCCCTAGGTCCTTGACAGTTCTAACCAATCAAATAGCAAAAGTGTCCTGCGAAGCAAAAACTCTCCCTAAGACCACAGTCATCAGCTGGCTGAGACAGCGCCGGGGACCCACCATGGACAAGCACTTTGAGTTCCTGGCCTCCTGGAACCCTTCCAAAGCAGCTGCTACATACGGTGAAGGGGTGAAGAAGGAGAATATAATCATGTTTTCAGATATAACCCGGTACGTTCTCAATCTGACGAGCGTGAAGCTGGAAGACAGCGGCACCTACTTCTGCATGATGATCGGGAGCCCTCAGCTGATCTTTGGGACAGGGACGGAGCTGAGAGTGGGTAAGAATGGCTTTAAAGATATGGAGCATACACGCACACACACAGACACACACACACACACACACACACACACACACACACACACACACCAGGCACTGCGGCTGCCTGCTCTCAGTGAGCCTCACTCTGCAGCCTTGATAATCACACCACCTAAAGACTAATCGAAAGAAAATGCATATTGAGAGTTGCCCAGGTCGAGCACCTTTGAGGGTTGCACGTAGCTGTGTCCCTTAAGGCTGCCAGCAGATGGTAGACTCCACTCCTACTTTGGATGGGAAGCAGATGAAGTGGGAATAGGTCGGTTAACCATGGGCGCTTGTGATTCTGATGCAGACACACAGTGTCCTTGCCTGGACAGCAATTTCAGGAACCCTGAGTGCACATACAAACTCTCACTGCCTGGGTACACACAGAGAGCGCATTTCTGAGGCAGCAGAGAAGCAGTTGTCCTTAGCATCCTTTGTGGGGTTCTATGGCTCAAACCCACACTCAGGGGCCCAGGGGATAAAATAACTGGACCCCAGGCCTAGCCAGGCTACTAATACATCACATACCTGTCCCCTCCCACAGCCTCGGTTTCCCTATCTGTACAAAGCAGCTGTTGGCCCACCTCTAGTTCTTGGAAGCTGCAGTTTCATTAATTAAATGGTCGTGTAGAAGTACCTTGCAAACCATAGACACGGTTTTCCATTTTCTTTTTTTTCTTTTTTCTTTTTTCTTTTTTCTTTTTTTTTTTTTGGTTTTTTGAGGCAGGGTTTCTTTGTGGCTTTGGAGGCTGTCCTGGGACTCGCTTGGTAGTCCAGGCTGGTCTCGAACTCACAGAGATCCGCCTGCCTCTGCCTCCCAAGTGCTGGGATTAAAGGCGTGCGCCACCAACGCCCGGCCCGGTTTTCTATTTTCTAAGAATCATCTAAGTGCCTGCATTGGTGGTATAGTGGTGAGCATAGCTGCCTTCCAGAATCATCTAAGTAAGAAGAAATAAGTGAAATGAATTTCACAGTGCATTTTTTCGAACCCAATTTATCCAAAAAGTATTAGCATTTCAACAGGTAACCTATTTTTTCATACATGGCATTTGGTATGTATTTTATGTGTACAGCATATCTCTGTTCAGACTAGTCACACTAGACTTGGGGTGGAAAGCGATCATTGTAGATTCTCTCGGGTCAACATTTGGCTGTAGTTCTTTCTCCAGCTCAACCCAGGACTGGGCTTTTCACTGTCTTGCTTCCCACTCACCTGGGGACTGAAAGTCACAAAGGCACCCCAGCCACCCCCAGAAGTTAGGTCACTCGGCCTAAGGGGTACAGAGACAGTTGGGGATGAGGCCAGAGTTATAATGGAAAACAGCAAGGACAGCAAAAACAGATCGAGGTCTCCATGGCCTGTCTAGTGTCTGATCTGACAGGGTGGTGTGGGTTAAGGTCTGTTGTGTTTGCTTTCTTACCTTTGTTTCTGTGAGCTCCATGCCTTCCCAGGGCTTCAGGGTCTGAGAAGGGCAGATGTGAAATAAGAGCAGGTGGTTTCCATCTCTGCCTGTCCTGGCTTCCATGTTTCCAAGCCCTGTGTGCTGCCCAGCAGACCAGGGTCCACAATCTGTCTTCCCAGTGACAAGGACACCCAAAGTCTGAGCCTACCTGCTGGACTGGAGGATTCCAGTGCCTTGGAGGAGAAGCTTGGCTAATATAGAGAGTGTTGGGGGGAATACAGGCCTTATTTAGGCACTCAAGCACACTGTGGGTTCCAAGGACCTGTCCCTCTTAAAAAAAAAAAAGACAGAGAAGGAGAAATCGAATTCAGGAGGAATTGCGGGGACCTGACTCAGAGCGAAATGAAATTAAACAGAGCAACCTCCTCTTGTCCCCATCCCCTCCCGTCAGACTTAGGCTGCTACTGTGCCAGCCAAGGCCCCGGAGGCTACAGCTCCCCCCCATGCTCGCCACTGAGCAGCTGAGAGACTCCTACGTTTTTGAGGCAAATGGACTCAGTTTAGGAGTCATGAGCTCTAAAGGACTCAACACCCAGCAGGTCCAGACTCTTGGATCTTGTCACTGCTATTAGCTGTCACTTCACAACAGCTCCTTAGCACCAATGGTCAAAAGCCTGTGATGACCTAATGTGGTTAATGTTTGGTCAGAGATGGTACGGGAAATGGTCTTTTGGTTTTTCTAGCTCCTCTCCTACTACTTCGCTGAAAGTAGAATGCAGGAGATCCGTTTCCTTGGTCAGCAAAGGCTAAGGGTAGACGGTCCGGAAGTCCACACCTCAGAACCTCGTGGTCTCCCCGCTCAGAGCATCAGTCCCACTGTCCTCTCCTACCCCTCTCCCAACCCCTCAGTGTGAGACACCGAATCAAAACCGAGGAGAGGCAGGGCCATCCAGGGAAGGAGAAGGGTCTGGAGTCCCAGTCTGTCACTTATCCACCTCTCCCAGCTGGCCGTGTTCATGTAGGGGAGGGACAACTATCGACTTAGGGACTGGCTAGGGGGCTGAGAGATTGGTCATGCCAAAGGACCAAGGAGTCTTCTGTGTTTTGTTTTGTTGCAACGGGGTCTTTCTACATAGCCCTGGCTGTCCTAATACTCATGTAGACTGGGTGAGCCTCCTTGGACTCACAGAGATCCACCTGCCTCCATCTCCCAAGTGTTGGTATTAAAGGTGTATGCCACCATGCCAGGCTGGACCAACAACCTCAACCCAAGGTCATGCCTACTGTGTTCTTTGCTAGGTATGCCTCTCTCTTGATTCTCACAAGATGTCATTGTCCTTTTCGTTTGTTAGCTTTTCAGGTTTTTTGTTGTTGTTGTTGTTGGTTGTTATTGTTATTTTTCAAGTCAGGGTTTCTCTGTGTAGACCTGGCTGCCCTGGAACTCATTCTGTAGACCAGGCTGACCTGGATCTCACAGAGATCTGCCTGCTTCTGCCTCTCAAGTACTGGGATTTAAAGGTGTGCTCCACCACCACCTGGCAGAAAGTCATCTTCTTTACAGCAGATGGGAAGTTGAGGAACAGACAATAGTCCAGGCTTCACAGTTGTTAATTATGGCACAAGGCTCTGCTCATGTCTGGTGGTTTCATAGCCTCTCTCCGGGACACCAAGCTATCCCCACCCACAGGCGCAACATTTATCTGAGAACTGAGCATCAGATCTGAATCCTTGTGCTCTGTGACCTGAAGTCCTGTGGCAGCCGTCAGTGCCTGGAAGCAAGGCACACAGTCTGCCGGTGAGTCTTGCTGCTTACCTGGCTGACATGTGGGTTATTACTTCTTTCTGTAGTTGACGTCCTTCCTACACCTGCCCAGACCACCAAGAAGACTATCCTCAAGAAGAAACAGTGCCCAGTCCCCAACCCAAAGGCCCAGAAGGGTAAGTTTGCCATGGCTGCACTCACAGAAAAAAAAGGCAGCTCCCACTTTCCTTTCCTTCTCCCTCTTTCTCTTGCTTTCCTTCTCCCCTTCCTTCCTCCCTGGTACAAACACTTGCTGAGCCTTTGTTCCGTAGCCTATTTCTCTAGCTCCAAGGAGGTGTCAACAAAAGGGACACTGAGTACCACAAGTCACAGTCCGTGAGGCCACACTCAGAACTCATCACAGAATGAGACGTTCAGGAAAATACAGCCACCCAGACCCTGTGCTCGCAGCAGCGCAACTCATCATAGCCAGAGAAGTGGACACAACCCGATGTTCCCCAACTAGTGCATAGGCTAACAAGGCAGGGTGCAGGCAATACGAGGACCCAGAGAATGACGTCCTGGGCTCACAAGACGGCTCAGAAAGTAGCCGCACCTGCTGCCAAGCCTGCTGTCTTCAGTACACACATGGTACAAAGAGAAAACTGATTCCTGCAAGCTGTCCTTTAACTTATGTGTACCATGGCACTCAAATGCCCACACCATATACTCAATCAATAAATGAATGCAGTTTTTTTAAAAAGTTAAGTACTGGCTGGGTATGGCAGTCCATGCTTATAATCCTAACATTCAGGAGGCTGAGGCAAGATCACAAGTTCAAGGTTAGCCTGAGCTACGTAGAGAATCCCTGATTAAAAAAGAAAGAGCCCAGATGTGGTGGCATATATGTGTAATCCCAGCACTCAGAAGGTAGACGCAAAACGATCAGGAGTTCAAAGCTATACTCAACTACATGTCACAACTGAATCTAGCTTGGGCTGTGTAAGACCCTGCCTCAATGCCCTACCCCCAAATAATATACTGACACTTGCTTAAGTTTGGATGGATCTTGAAAATGCACAGTGAAAGGTCAGTTACAAACAAATAAACAAACAAACAAATAAATCTCACACATTTTAGCCAGGTGGGGTGGCTCATGCCTCTAATCCCAGAACTCAGGAGCAGAGACAGGTTGATCTCTATGAGTTCAAGGTCAGGCATAGGGAACATTGAAAAAGTCTTAATCAGCACAGAGGCTGTGTTTTGTTGTTTTTCTAGAACTACCAAAATGCCCCCAAAGCAGACAATGTGATGGCTTTACACTTCAAGAAGATTCTAAAAATCACTGAGTATACATTTAACTTTCCATGTAGATTCAGGCTGCCTGGAACTAACTTTAACCCAGGCTGACCTCAGATTCCCAATCCTTCTGCCCCAGCCTTAGACTGACAGGTTGTGGGATTATAGACATATACAACAGGTAGAGTTTCTGGCTTGCAAATCATATCACAATCAAGCTGTCAACAAACAAAGGCTTCCAGGCAAAGGCCCAGCACTTCACTCTTTGCCAGACTCTGACAAGCTAACGAGGGAAAGCCAGGCATCTCAGCCGGAGCAGGCACATACGTACTGTTGAAGCCATACCCTCAAACGTGTTCTGGAAAAATACTGACTTCCACCCCCAAAAGTTAGTGGTGACAAACAGAGAGTTCCAGCTGCCACTACCCGGAGAACAAACCACACCGCCAGCGCACCGCTGGGGTAGCTTGTGCTGCCTCACTGCAGCATACAAAAGCCCCAGAGGAGGTGTTCCCTGAAGGGTCATGGAGACAGGGAGAGGGTTGCCTCCTGAGGTCACCACGGAGGTTTGGTGCCTTATGCCTGTAATCCCAGTACCTGGGAGGGTGAGGCCAACAATCAGGAGTTCTTGGTCATCCTCAGCTACAGTGCAAGTCTGAGCTATATGAGACCCTGCCTCAAGGAAATCAAAACACTAATCAAAAAAGAAAACGCAAACAGAAAGCCTTTCTGTTATAAATATGAAGAGGAAGACAGAGTGACTTCATTATATAACATATTGTGCCCTGAAAGCTTAGTTAAAAGGACGGAGAGGCAGGCAACAAAAATACAAACCTCACAAAATGCAGCCCCTGTTGGTCAGTTTTTCAGAAGGCTGAGGCAGGGGGATCACTTGAACTCATAAGTTTGAGAGTAGTCTAAGCAACACAGTGTGAGACTGTCTCAAAAATAAATAAGCTAGGCATGGTGGTTCTTGCATATGATCTCAGCATTCAAGAGTCTGAGGCAACAGGATCAGTGTAATCTGAGGCTAGCCTGGACGACATAGTAAGTTCTAGGCCAGGCTGATCTACAGAATGAGACACCGTCTATAGATAAATTTTTAAAAACCCCACACATACACATATGCATATATATACATATGCATATATATACATACATACATATACATACACACACATACACAAATGGGAAGAGGGGAGGGAGAAAGGGGGCAAAAAAGAAGAGTGAGAGGAAGGGAAGGAAGGAGAGAGGAAGTCAGAAAGGAGATAGAGAGACCTTTTATACAGAGAGAGGCAGAAATCAGTTGGAATAAACAACCATGCTTCTTCAACCATGACAGTATCTCTGGCTTCCCTTCCAGTGCGGTCCCTCTACAGTGCCCTGCCCCTCCTCCTCTGCTGCTCTGCAACTAGTCTTGAAAGCCGGGACGGATAACTTGGATGCTGTCAGCTTCCCTCACCTGACCCTCACCAACTGGGTGAGCCGTAGTCGATTTGCCAAGCTGTGCAAGCATCTCTGTGAGCACTCTGCCCCCGAGCTAGATCCCCAGCCCAGGCCCCAGTTTCTCAGAACTACGAAGTGAGAGGGAACAATAAAACAACTCCGTGTCTTCCGTCCTCAGAGGCTTTCAGTTAGCACTGTCCCTGGCGCATCTAGCTGAGTTCTTTTCCTCCCTCACATGCAGAGGGCTTTCTAGACTTCTCAACCAAGAGCCCAAGCCTGCACTCTATCCTTTCATGCATGGGTTTGGCTCTGCACTTCAGCCCTTTAGGGCGATCCACTATGGGGCTGATCTGAGGCCAGAGTATTGAAGAAAGATCTAGAACATTAAAAACAGAAGCCCTGCAGCTTAAACAGCATTCAAAAACTAGACAAGTGGCTGGGCGGTGGTGGCGCATGCTTTTAATCCCAGCACTCAGGAAGCAGAGACAGGTAGATCTCTGTGAGTTCGAGACCAGCCTGGTCTACAGGACAGCCTTCAAACGAAGACATAAATAAATAAATAAATAAATAAATAAATAAATAAATAAGCTAGACTAGTGAATAGATACCCGGGTCACAGAAGAACAATCAGTCAAGTAGGTAGTGCAAGCAAATAGTCTGAAGCCCACACAGTCTGGGGACTGAAGTACGGCCAATGAGGCTCCTCTCTCTTCCGCGCAGATGCACTCGCATTAACTGAGCCGGTTAGGTGTCCCGTTGGGTGAGAGAGAAAACGAAGACACCTGGCAGTTTACTACAACCAAAATGGGCAAAGTCTGTGGTCTAGTAGCTCCCATTATCACGTCTGCCTCAGGAAGGCACCTGCATACAGAAAGGTGCCAGAATGTTCTCTGGGGCTGTTTATAAAAGCAAAACACAGGAAACAGCTAAGATTCCCGCTGGTGGCTAAATAAAGGACGGTGCATCCGCAGGGCCACCTGTGACTCCACCGAGGAACGCAGTGTGCTGGCATGATTGAAGGATGGGGAGGAAGGCATTCGCGGAAAGAAGAAAACGAGCACAGTACAACCCACTGTGCTAAAAAGGAGAAAACTAAGGGGCCAAGGGCGTAGCTCAGTTGATAGAGTTGCCCAACATGCGCAAAGCCCTGGGTTCAATCCCTAGCCCGGCATACGTGGTCGCAGTGGCCCACAAGTGTGATCCCAGCACTCGAGAGATGGAGACAGGAGAATCAGAAGTTCAAGATCATCCTTGGTCACCGTGAATTAGAGACCTGTCAGGGATACAGGAAACCTTATCTTTTTGTTTTGGGGAGGGGGCGGGTTTCGAGACAGAGTTTCTCTGTGGCTTTGGAGGCTGTCCTGGAACTAACTCTGTAGACCAGACTGGCTTTGAACTCACAGAGATCCTCCTGCCTCTGCCTCAGGAGTGCTGGGATTAAAGGCGTGCGCCACCATCGCCCGGCTTGGGAAACCTTATCTTTAAAATTAAAACACAAAGACAGCGGCTAGGGAGATGACTTTTTAGGGTAGAATGCTTTCTGTGAAAACACAGGCCCTGAGTTTAAATCATGAGCACTCACATAAAAAGCTGGGCCTGGTGACAGACACCTGGATCCCCAGCACTGGGGGAGGTAGAGACCGGAGAACCTCCGGGGCTTGCCGGCCCCCAGTCTGGTGCCAGGCTTAGGGAGAGACCATCTCAAGGGAAAGAGGTAGAAAATGACAGGACAGGACACCTGTCAGCCTCCGCTGGTCTCCACACCACTCACATGTGCCTACACGCCCCACATGCACACTCACATACATGTATATGAACAATGAAAATTGCACGTGCCCGTGAAAACTGTGTGTTTAGATGTAAAGGGGAAGATTTTGAAATTATCAGTGTTGATCTGTGACCATTCTAACATTGAGAAAAGTACAGTGAAAATATAGGTGTCTATTTTTTTTGTGAAATTCAAATAAAGGATTTTTTAAAAAAGGAATAGCAAAATGTTATTAGTAGGCATGAGATGTGTCTACTTCCTCTGCACATAAACAGTGCCCAAGTTTTATTAACATTTTAAAAATAGAGATGTAACATGGCATTTGTATATAAAATTACCTCAGTGATATTTAAAGCGAATTTTAAAATCAACCAGAAGGAAGTATGATAAAAATGCAACCAGTGGGGCTGCCTCCTGGAAGGGGAGTCAGACAGATCTCTGTGAGTTCCAGTCCAGCCAGGGTTACAAAATGAGGGCCGAATAGTGAGACCCTGTGTCAAAAACAAAGAGTAGCAAGCCAACCAGTGACACACTCCGGGAGGAGGGACTGCTCCCTGCCTGTGTCTGAATCCATGTCATGTGTCATGTGTGTCTTTTTCAGGCCTGACGTGTGGCCTCATTACCCTCAGCCTGCTGGTGGCCTCCCTCCTGGTTCTGCTGGTGTCCCTGAGTGTGGCGGTCCACCTTCACTGTGAGTTGATGCATACAGGACGTTAAGTCTACCTAGGCATACTTTCTTCCCTAGGGCAGCAAAGCAGACGGTAAATTCGCCCAACAAACCTTGTGGCTCTGCAAGTGACTCTTTCTGTCTTTGAGGGAACGCAGGGACTTGAACCCAGGGCATGCTGGATAATCTCTACCACAGTGCCCGGGAGGTAAAGGAAGAAACCTCAGGAGTTCAAGGCCAGCCATGGCTACATGGTGAATCTGAGGTTTGAGGCCCACCTGCGCCACCTAAGATCCTGTTTCAAAAACAAAAACATTCTGTGGACATAAACACAGCCCCCTTCTCTTTCCCTGCGGCATCCCAGTAGGAGTGCATGCCTGTGACGCCTTGGATGCCCTCTGGGCTCTGGGGCCTGGCCTGCTGTTAAGGCAATGACATTTGTTTTGCACCATTGAGATTTGAACCTAAGGCCTTGAGTCCCACCACTGTGCAGCCATTGCCCCTTTACCCCAAGTTTCGTTCCCAGGAAAGCTTATTTAAGGTACAAACTGGAGTAGATGAACTTCATTAAAACTCTGCCACGAGCTACATGACTTTTGGGCAAGTTATTTGACAATCTGCATGCTCTGTGCCACAGTTTCCACACGTGAGACGGATATAGTAGTGTTAGGATCGAGTAGCATGCGTGAAGGCTGTTAAAATGTGGAGTGGATGAATGAATGACTAATCTCAACTACTTTAAACCTGTATAAGCAAACAACAAGTGTGAAATGGGAAGAATTCGGGGCTCACCCTAGCACCCCAGATGAAGTCGTGGGCGTTCCTCTTGGGCTCTGAGGCTTGATGCTAGTGATCAACCAACCAGCGCTAACTTGCCTTTCTCTGCTCTGCTCTTCCAGGCCTTCGCAGGAAAGCCCGAATTCGCTTCATGAAACAGTAAGTGCTGTTCTCCAAAAAAGTCACATATGGGGCCTGAGGGTGTGGATGACTTGGAAGAGCGCTTGTCTAGAATGCCAAAGCCTCAGGTTCAGTCCCCAGCACCAAGTAAACCAAGTACAGTGGTTTCCTCCCATAATCCCAGCACTAGGAGGAGGATTAGAAATTCAAAGTCACCAGGGATGGTGGTCCATGCCTTTAATCCCAGCACGTGGAGAGGCAGAGGCAGACTGATTTCCATGAGTTTGAGGCCATCCTGGTCTAAATAGTGGGTTCCAGGACAGCCAGGACTATGTAGAGAAACTGTCAAAAGAAACCAGAAACAAAATATAAAATGAAGTGGATTAGAAATCCACTAAGAGGTGGATTCAAAGTCATCAGGCTATGGTAACACAACCCTTTAATCCCCCCCCCTCTGGCACTGGGGAGGCAGAGGCAGGAGGATCTCTGTAAGTTTGAGGCCAGCCTGGTCTACAGAGCAGAATTCCAGGACAGCTAGAGCTGTTACACAGAGAAATCTTGCCTTGAAAAACAAAAAACAAAACAAACAAACAAAAAAAGAAGAAGAAGAAGAAGAAGCTGAAAGTCATTCCTTTCTATATAGTACCAGGCTAGCCTGGGCTACAAACCTTACTTCAGAAATAATTTACCAGCTACAGAAATTTTTAAAAAGATGAAAATACGATCATGTATTTTTACCTATCATCCCTTAACAAGAGCCGAGGCTTGTACCAGACAGAGGCTGTGGTTACTTCCTGACTTCAGGTCTAGGATCCCATCCTCTGGCTCAGACAGTGTACTTGGATTTGATTGGTTGTTGTTCTGAGACAGGGTCTTCTGTATCCCATGCTGGTCTCAAACTTGCTATTTGCCAAGGCTGATCTTTGGCTTCTGGTCCTCCCTCCTCTACCTCCTGAGTGCTGGCACTACATTCATGAAGTACATACATACATGATGAAGATCAGACTCAGGCTTGGTGCACACAGGGAAGTGCTCTGCTGCCTGAGCCCCAGGCATAGAGACTGTTTCACATCTTCTGGCCATACATATCAGTTTGATCCTCAGAACACACACACACACACACACACATGCACGCACACACACACACACACACACACGCACGCACGCACGCACGCACGCACGCAGGTGTGAAGACAGAAAGGACCATGTCTCCAAATGGAAGAGGGCAATAGAACCTTGTGCTCAAGGGAGACATAGGCCTACATCTGAATTGGCAGCAAGCATCTCTACCCACTGAGCCATCTCTCCAGCACCGCCTGCTATATTTTATGAGCCATTTGCAGCTCTAGTTCAGATGGTAAGCAAGTTCTGCTTTGTGGGCTGGAATTAGAAACCACCTTCATCTAACAAACAAGAACCACAGCTTGAGCGCTTCTAAGACTAGACCTCTAGATAGTTCCGTGCAAAAAGCCCCTCTTTGTGGCCTGTTGTAGAAAGTCAGTCTAACCCTGGCACTCCCTATGATGTGTCCCAGCATGTCCTCTCATTGTCAACTGCTCCACAGTGACCTGATAATGCCATTTTTGAAGAAGCTGGAGATGGGACTCTGAAATTTGGCAACCAGGAGTTCTGTGGACCAGTGAGGCAGAGAGCATGCACAGGGTGTGTGTGTGTGTGTGTGTGTGTGTGTGTGTGTGTGTGTGTGTGTGTGTGTGTGTATCCTGAGTCCTCCTCCTTGCTTGGGGCAGCTCTGCTCACATCATTGATCTTTTTTGTTGTTGTTGTTTTGTTTTTTTGAGACAGGGTTTCTCTGTATGTCTTGGTGGCTGCCCTAGGACTTGCTCTGTAGATCAGGATGGCCTCGAACTCACAGAGATCAGAGATCCGCCTGCCTCTGCCTCTCGAGTGCTGGGATTAAAGGCAAGCGCCACCAACACCCGGCATCAGTGATCTATTTTTACATTTACTTATAAAATGTGCCCGTTGGCAGGGTTGCAAACATCTGTAATGCAGGCACTTGAGAGGTGAGGCAAGAGGATCAGAAGTCTGAGATCACAGCCAGTTTGTCTCAAAAAGAAAAAAAAAAGTAATTTTGCCAGGCTTGGTGGTACACACCTTTAATCCTGGCACTTGGAGGGCAGAGGCAGAGGAGGCAGATCTCTGGGGCTTTGAGGCCACCAGCCTGGTCTACACAGAGATTCAAGGATATGTAAAGAGACCCTGTTTCAAAACACCAGAAAGAAAGTGGTTTGAACAAAAATGTTTGTGGATTTATTTACTTGAGGATTGTGTGTGTGTGTGTGTGTGTGTGTGTGTGTGTGTGTGTGTGTGTGTGTTTTGAGACAGGACCTCAAAGGCCGGACTTGAGGTCATCTTAAACTCCTAACCCTGTGAAGTTGGTTTGTGGCTTTCAAACCTTTAAAAGCCCCTTAAAATTTTGCTGTTATGGCCCAGGTATGCTCAAAACAGCCCCTGGGCCTCACAGATCAGCTATTGGCAAACCCAAGCTGTAATTCTAGGCAGGTATCCCCAACCTTCTCTTGTCACAGAGTGTCCTCCCACCAAGGACCAGCACCTCTGGCCCCCTGTGTGCACTTAGAAAATGCTTCAAGAAGCAACGTCGTTCAAAGCTAGGGGCTTTTGACATTTTTAAAAACATTTCTTTGTCATGTGTGAACATGTGCCCTATGGCGGGTCAGAACAGCTGGTACTGGATATTGAACTCAGATCATCAGACTGGGAAGCAAGCACCTTCACCCACTGAGCCGTCCTACTGGCCGCAAAGCTAGAGTGGTTTTGAGCTATATTTGTGTGTTATTTTGTTGTAGTTTGGTTTTCACTGTTGTTACTTTGATTTTTGCTTTTTAATCTTTTTAATGACAGAGACGGGCCCTAAAAAACACTGTAGCATAAAGCTCTCAGCCCCAGGCACGCCTACTTCCTCCTCCATCTGCTATTTGCTTCTGCTATAAGAAATGCCAGTGTCCCTAGCCCGAAAATAAGAGTCTTACGACTTGCTGTCATTTCCCAGGTTTCACAAGTGATCAGTGCCCACAATGCTGATATCCTGCCACAAAAGGACAGTGCTCAGTAAGAAGCAAGATCTGGACAAATGAGAGAGGGTTTCATTCTACGGTGAGGAGTCCACTGTCTTGCTCAAGCCGTCTGCTTTGAAACGCGCTGCAAGTTCCTGTCTGTGACTTCATGCATGGGAACCTCTTGAATGTTCACCTGGAGACTCACAGAGAGGGCTCCAGAATCCAGAACCACTCACAGAGTGTGCTGAAGAACCAAGAACTCCCATCATGACACCCTTGTGGTTCTTGTACCCTTCTTGGACCGGACCGTGGATGGTGGCCTTCCAGCCACCATCTTTGAAAACTGCTTGGTAGGGCAGCAGTTTTGGCTCTTTGGCCTCTAATGGGAGAGAGCTGGGGGACCAACCCTGGGTCTTCCCAGAGAAGACTGCCCATCTTCACAGGGAGAAGCCAGCTTGTGACTGAAGCTTCCTGCAAACAGCAGCCTGGGCTCTCGGTGGTCATCTTAGCGTCCCAGGGCTAAGTCTCTCCTGGGAACCTGTTGGGTCAGGAGACAGACTTCTACTTCATCTCCTGGCAGGAAGTTCTTAAGCTTTACTTCTCTCTTGTGACTTGGATATTTCTCCTCTCAGTGTTTGCTGTTTTTATGGAAAATGTCATGGCTGTAAAAATAAAGTCCTGTGTTAAAGACACCAGTGGTTCCGTGGCATCCGAGGGTAGCCCCTCTACAGCAAAGAGGTGATGCTAGTCAAAAGAATAAGAGTTGGGAGTGTAGAATAGCAGCCTAAATGACAAGGTCACCAGTCCAGGGGTGGCAAGGTCATTTTGTGTGTGCTCATCGTACATCTGAGACCCTCATTTGGTCACACAATGTGCTCTTGGATTGTGGATGAAAAAGTTAGGAGGTACCCAGGATTCCCAAAGCCAGGCTATGCTACCTCCAGGCCACACACAAGCACACTCACGCCCACGCCCAAGTGCTCTCACCTGCAGTGATACTAGAAGCTGTTTTGATAGAAAGAACAGGTGTTGGTTCCAGCCGTTGGAGGGCTTTGGAGTCTGTTAGCAAAACGAGAGTGGTTTTATTTATTTGTATTTGAGACTGTAGCTGTGGATTGCATAGAACTCATTATGTAGATGAGGCTGTCCTTAAACTTGCAGAAATCTACCTGCCTCTGACTCCCAAGTGCTGGGATTAAAGGTGTAAGCCCTACACCTGACAATTTTAAAAGTATTTTGTGTGTGTGTGTGTGTGTGTGTGTGTGTGTGTGTGTGTAGGTAGGTAGGTAGGTAGGTAGGTAGGTCAGAGAACAACTTTTAGAAGTTGGTTCTGTCCCTGAACTGTGGTGACTCCAGGCATAGAACCCAGGTCCTGGGCCTTCACCTTTACTCACTGAGGCATCTTACCAGATGATCCTTGCCGACTTTTAAAACATTTTTAAAAATTTTTTTTAAAGAATGAGCTTCTCATGGTGTGTAATGAGGTTTCACAGATCAGTAGTCCTCATGGAGACATTCTGGTAAAGTTTTGTGTTTTTTTTTTTTTTGTTTGTTTTTTCTCTTGTAATACGCTAAGGGGGAAAGAACAGACATACTCCATACACTGCTGACAATGACAGAGAGGAACTTTTGGTGGGTAGCAGGTTTTACAGATGAGAGCCATAAAAACCTGTCACCTCACGTCCCCATGTGTCCCTCCTATTTCTGTTTCAGCACTGCTCTCCGAGGTTAAGCTCCAGGGAGGCCTGCCTCAGGACAAGCTTGTACCAAAGTAAAGGTGTAAAACCAGAGTTATGATCGATTCATTTGCTAATCATGTTTTAGCCTCTGTGGCCAAAGAGGGCCAACCGCTGAACTGGAGTCAGGGAGGAGAGGAAGTATCCCAAGTTTTAAAAAGTCCCTCTGTCCGTTTACCTCCACCATGGCCTCCACCAGTCTGGGACTGGCAAGGCAAAAACCACTGCATCTGGCATGAGCATTCACAGAGGCATTGTGACCTGGTTCATCCTGCCTGCTCCTCATGGCCACTTCAGAGAATGGTGAGGGCAAACTGGGCTGTGTTCTGAGGTCTCTGAAAGTCACAGAGAGAAGACGGCTCCAGAGGTGCAACTGAGGCAGGACCTGGGTGTGGTAGGTCAGGCAGGGTAGGTGCAGGAGGTCCTCCAGGGAAGCGAGAGATTTCTGCAAATGACGACTGTGTCCCGAGACTGATGGGAGAATAGAAAACCATCAAGGTGGTCTCTTGCCCTAGTCACACCATGTAAATGGCAAGGCTGAGACCCAGGCTGCGTGCAGCGGCTGCTCCCTGAAGGCTCAAACCCTGTCCGCAGCGGAAGGAAGAGCACAGCCTCATGGCCGCTCAGGCCACCTCAGCTGTGCTATTTGAGCATCTACCTGCCTCTGTCTCTGCAATCGCATTTGCTTGTTTACAAGTTCAGGTGGGGCTGGGCTGGCAGGAGCGGGTTTGGCCGCACGGCGTGCAGCAGGCAGTTGCTATGGTTGGTGGTTCAGCTGGATCAGGCTTGGCTGCCAAGGGTTGGGGGCTGTGGTGAGGAGGTCTGTACCCAGCAACTGACTATTGTACAGAAGAGGGAACTGAGTTGTCAAATGCTGTGCACAAAGAAAAACACAGTGAACTGTTCCTTGTGCTTCTGCCTGGTAGCCTAAAATTGGAAACACTCAAAGGTCCACCAAAAATAATCTCAAAACCCTGGGTTCGACACCCCGAATGTTAAAAAAACAAAAGGGTGGGGTGGTGAGGAAGCAGTTAGACAGACTATGGTCCAGCTTTATATATGAGTTTATGCTACTGTTAAGAAATGTGTTAGCTGGGCTCCTTTAATCCCAGCACTCGAGAGACAAAGACAGGTGGATTTTTGTGAGGTCAGGTCCAGCCAGGGTCACATGGTGAGGCCTTATCTCAAAGTATATATACTATATATTTATAATACAAAATGTATAAGAAAAGAAAAATGAGCCAGCTTGTGGTGGTGGCGGCGGCGGCACACGCCTTTAATCTCAGCACTTGGGAGGCAGAGGCAGGTGGATCTCTGTGAGTTTGAAACCAGCCTGGTCTACAGAGTGAATTCCGGGACAGAGAAACCCTATCTCAAGAAACAGAGAGAAGGAGAGAGAGAGAGAGAGAGAGAGAGAGAGAGAGAGAGAGAGAGAGAGAGAGAGAGAGAGAGAGAGAGAGAGAGAGAAGAAACAAAATGTCACCCCACTGTTCTGCAAATAGTCTACACAGCCTTCAAGCATATGTTTCGTACACATAGAAAAGGGCCTGGAAGAATTTACTGCAAGCGATGGTTCAGGGGTTAAGATCACTGGCTGTTCTTCCAGAGGACCAGTTTCCAGCGTCTTCATGGCAGCTCACAGCCATCTGTAACTGACTGAGTTCCAGGTGGACCCAATGCTGCCTTCCAGTCTTCACAAAGACATTCATACAGGCAAGAGACCATATACATAAAAATAATCTTTAAAAAGGAATTTATTTTAAGCTGTTACTGGCAGTGACTTTGGAGACTTCTGTTTCTACTTTGTAAAACCATCATCCAGGGACTGAGGATGTAGCTGTAGAGGGTTTATCTGGAGTGCACGAAGCTCTGGGTTCAATGCCCACCACCTCACAAGCCCAGAGCAGTGGTGCGTGCCTGTGATCTCTACTCGGGAGATAGAGACAGGTAGATCAGAAGTTTAAGGCCGTCTTTGGCTACATAATAAATTTGAGGCCTTATCTCAAAGTAATGCAATAAAAATAAAGCCCCAAGTATAGAACATTGCACAAATGAGTAAGATTAGTAGTTGAGCCAATTTTCTATGGATCTATGCTTTCATATATTAATTTTATGATTTGTAAAAGAATTATTGCAATGTAAAAAAATCCCAGAATATCCAAATACAAGCAATTCTTCCATAAACGTAGCATGAAAATTATTGTAGTGTGTCTGAGGCCACAACACAGCAGTCCCCTTGCTGGCAGCCTAAATGGCTTTGGCTGCACAACATAACTCTTGTACGCTGGGATCCAGAATGTTAGTAGCGTCTGCCCCTCTGCCCTGTGGTGGGTCTGGATTGACAACAGCAAGGAGAAGCATCTGGAAACAGCTCTGGTGTTCCCCCTCTGTCCTTCAGAGAAAAGCAACTGCAGGTGTGCTGGCCTCCCAGGCCTGTCCACAGGAGGAAAGGGGGCTCCCACACCAGGCCTCTCTCATCCTTACTCATCGCTCTCCCAACCACAGCAGCTCCTCCGCACCTATAGGAAGTGGGCGACTTGTTTTCAGAAAGAGATTCCCCAGCTCTTGTGGGCTGAGCAGCAGATCCGAATCTACCACCCAGTCAAAGAGAAAGAGAGAAACAGCCCTGGGTTCGCAGGCCTCTCCAGGTGGTAAAGGACAAAGAGATTGCCTCTGTCATTTCTTGGGAAACCTCCTCGGTTCGTCACTGACACTCTTCAGGACATGAGTCACTGTTTCTTGGAGTTTTCCCATCGCGTGGTGCGTGGACTCAGATCTGAATCCATCGCCTCAAATCTAGGGTAGAGGACAGATGTGCGTGGCACCTCTGTTTTTGTTATTGTTGTGTTTTTGCTGTTGTTTTAGGGAGGTTGTTATTCCCTTTGGTATTGGCTTGTGTTGTCTTTTTGAGATTGGGTCCCCTGTAGTCCTGGCTGACAATGTGCTGTGCAGCCTTGAATGTCACTGAACTGCAGAGTCCCCTGTCTCCCTTCCTCCACCTCAGGAGCGCTGTTTCAAGGAGCATGCCCCGTGCCTGGCTGTTTGGTTTGAGACAGTCTGTTCCTTGTGGGGGGATCTTCAAATATACTTATTTGGGTCACCTTCCACAGCTCTCCCTGTGCATGGGCCAGGGGTATAACATGGACAAGGCAAAGCCAACAGGGCCCTAGGGCCTTGCTCACAGGCACTTAGCAAAAAGACTTCTCAGTGTCCTTTTCACTAGCCAGAGCCATGGCCTATAGCAGCCCACAGGCTTTTTCCTGTCATCTGTTCACATAGCCTAAGTCCTGATGCAGAAAACTAAGCAAAGAAACCGAGTAAAATGCTGTTTAGAGGTCTTCATAATCCCAATGGCAGATTCTACTGAGTGAGCCCGAGCACTTCCCTCCTGTGGCTGCCCCTCTGGCAGCTCCCCGCCCATGTGCTTTCTGTGCTCCCGAGGCCATCAGGTACCTGGCAGCGCCCAGTCTACCCAGCATGAGTGACACAAGCTTGGTGACCATAGAAAGAACACAAGCTCAGCGACACAGCTGTCCATGGAGCACTCGTATCCCAGCCGTGAAGATTCGGCACAGACACTTCCCTCAACCCCAGGAACTGACATTCATGGAGGACTTTGACTCAAGGCCAGCATTTGAGAATAACCTGCCTAGATGTGTCACTGACTACCCCTTAGTTCCAGCCCTGGACAAATGAACAGAAAAATGCCCGGATAGGATGGCCTGAGGCAGAAGGCATAAACTGGCTTCCAGGAGTCTCAGCAGACTCTCACGGGAGATTTTTGTGAAGGTCTCTGTGGTTGGGTGGGGGTAAAGACATGAGGGGAAGAATTGAGTTGGTGTGGGTTGGGGGTGGAGGCCCACCTTCCCCAACACTCCCCTCCCCAGCACCTCCAGCATCCTGTAGACCTGAAGCCAGGCTCACGGCAGGCCATGACCCCAGTGCTCCACCCCACC